GGTCCCTGCCTCTACCTACCACTGATTTCTGACAGCCAAGAGACCCCTCTTATTCTTTCCACCAACTTAAGGCAAAATCCACCCCTTCTACTTCCTCTCTCTGCTGAGTCTTCTGAAGTCATTAATGCCTGCAGTTAAAAATCTAACCTTTTCATCAAGTGAACATTGTGTCAGGCAGATGCAACAATGAGAAATGATGAGAGAAATGTCTAAAGACCTAACATTCTTGTCAGTCAAAGGATTACGGAAACTCGTGCTTTGAGAATGTCAGATGCGGGAAAATCAGATTAGTTAGATTCAATTGCTCATCAGAAGTTCATTGACACATCCCCCAGTGACTGTATTCATGACATCCATGGCCAAGTGTAAATGACCAGTGCTCTTGTTGTTTGTTGCTGTCCCCAGCGGTTAACCTTTGGCCATGGCAATACCACTAGTCAAGAAAAAGACTTTGCCAAGGGTATGATGTTGATTGCGTTTCAAATAGTACAATTGTGTCTGTTCATTGTACACTCTGTTTTTGACACAGAGTCTGCCCTGTTCACTGCAATTATTTTAAATTCTCTGGCACCACTGGTCCCTAACTTACTCCAGGTTCCTGAATGCCAGGAGATAGCCCTGATGTGCTTGTCACTGGCTCACATGGCCGGCACTAGTCCTTTGTGCTTTTGGCCACCGAACTAGGCAGAGTTGTGCTGAGCACAACCATAGAGTCACCTCTGGGAGTCAGAGGTGGGTCTCCTCAGCCTTTAGTGACAGAGGGGCCTGCCTGTAGCTAAAATGCATATTTTCTTTATGAAGCTTTAACACAGAGGCCTTAATTTTCCAGTTATCTGCCCCACAGAAATCCTCCCACTCTTTGGTTACTAATTGTTACTGCCTGCACTGGTAACAACCTACAGGAATATTAAGGGCTTTCAGTTCACTCAAAGAAAGTCCACCCATTTTTGCCCTGGGTACTCCTAAAGCCTTAGCCGGTTGCCTTTGAAAAATCTCATGTGGGTCTGTGGCATAACCTATAACCCCAGCTACTTGGAAGGCTGACACAGGAGGATCGAAAGTTCCCTGGGCAATTTAGCAAGATCCTATCTCAAAATTAAAGGGGTTGAAGGTGTGGTTTAGTGGTAGAGTGCTTGCCTAGCATTCACAAAGCCATGGGCTCAATCCCCAGTACCATTACAAAGAAAAAAAAGCTCTCACATGTGTGAGTGGAGGCCAGGCTGGGCCCAGCTGATGCCCCATCCCAGGAGTTGGCTTCGTAGTGTTATCTTTGCTCACAGAGAGTAGGTTAGTGCATTGAGAAATTACTCCTGTGCTGAAAGAGCAAACAAGAGCTTCCTCTGGCTTTGATGGGCTCTGTGGGTGCAGGCCAGAGGTTTGGGAAACCATACTTGGTAACTGTAAGCAGCAACATGATCAGAGGAACCTTGGTGACCTGAAGGAGATTGCATCAAGGGCCCTGCACTAAAACAACAGGGAGCCTGGAGGCTGGTGGTTTATTGGGTGTTTCCAATAAAGATGCAGAGCCCAAGGACTCCCCGGGGATCTCCATGGAAAACAACAGCACACATTCATCTGGCCACGTTTGCATTTTTAGCTCTTAGCAAATCCAGATTGGGAGAGGGGCATGCCCTTCCACAATCCTGCCAGGCTGCCTCTTCGATCAAAGCTGCGAGCATGGGCAGATGCAGATGGGAGAAGGAGCACAGCTGGGCTGCAGAGAACCATTAACTACGCAGAACAGAATGCCTCCTCAATTGTACACAGAAGTATGCTTTTCTCTTAAACCACGAACCTGGAATGTACCCTCTGGTGATGATTACAGGGCGAATCAACAGTCAAGTGATGGAAACCAGGCCCACACTCTGGGGTCCGGGCTATAGGTCTATAAACTAATGAGATCCAGAAGCCCTGCTTGCCCCTTTGACAGGCTCCTGGGGATAGGAGGGGGCAGGCATTGCTCTGAGGGGCTCCTTTCCCTGAGGTGGAGGCTCAGCATCCCACTGCCTGACCCTAGAGCTCTGCAGAGCTGCACAAGTTGGCCTGATCCCTATCCATAAGCCTCTCTTGGGTGACAGGAGGAAGACTGTTGTACATGGGCCAGAGCACCTAAGCGGACTGAGCTTGTCCCAGGACCTCTTTCCCAGCTCAAGCCATGACCCACCTGCATCCAAATCTCCTCCTTTCTCATTACTACCCTATTCACATTTGCAAAATGCAGATGAAGTGTGCTCTCTTTGCACTGGAGGAAATGATGTCTTTTTGCATACATAATGAAGCCCCGTGATCATGCACCCACAATAACAGATTGGCTAGCTATAAAGTGAGGGCTTATTGATTCTACCCAGGTTCACCTGATCATTCTATTACCCCACTAGAGCACAAGCCCATTTTCTTTTTTGGAGACTGACTGTTTTGGTTCCTATTTAGGAATTCACTGTATTTATTAAGAACTTGAAGTGTGCATAAAAATATGCGAAGCATGCACAGCCACGCTCCACCTGCTGCCAGGCCCACTTTAGTAAGATGAGGTTTCCGTGAGATGCAGCTACCAAGGAAATTTCAGCCTAAGGGAGCCCGGATTTTACATGTTAGTTGGCCATTGTCGCTAATCAGTGATCCCAAAAGTGGAGCGCAGCAGTTAAAGGGGATGCATGGAGTCCAGGTGATGGCATTAAGTCCCCTGCAGAGATGAGTGGTAGAGAAATGGCTCCACAAAGAATGTTTGTTCTGGTCCCACAGGACAATAGACCCAGACCTGCCTTTGTTAATAAGCCGCCTCCTCATAGAGCTCTGGGGAGGGAAACGTGGCCAGTATTAATTCTCCACTGTTTCAGATAGTAGGTGAGGAGAAAGCACCAGATCCAGCTGTTCTCTGAATGCACAGTTGCATTTTGCAGCCCCATCTTCCCCAGCCCCACAAGAGCCATTGGTCCTGGGGGTGGAGCATTCTGGAGTGGTTGGGGACATGCTCATTGCTACTCTTGCTCACTGCTAATTCTGTTGAATTTAACACTCTCAGCACAGAGCTTGCTTGTTAAAGACCTTAACACAACTCAGGAGTCCAGGAATTGTGATTCCTGAATAAGAAAAAAAAAAAAGCACAAAAGACGACCTCTAAAAAGACACATCAACTGTAGAAGGGGAGAGAGGAAGCTACTGGGTTTCCAAATTTAATATTCTTCAGACTTTCCAGGGAAGGACCCACAGTAGAAAGGCCTAGCTTCTATCTGGGAGGAAATTTTTTGCAGTCTGGCATCTCAGATTCTCTGGGATGGGGCTGACCTTTCCAGGTGTAGTTACAAGACTGTTGTGGCCTACCTCAGCGAGAAAGCTCACAGGCAGACACATCAACAGTCCTAATCTTCCTCACAACCAATATTGTGTACTTCCTCCTGTCTTCAGGCTTCACCCACAGGGAATGCATCGCACAATCAGCCTTTGTTATAACAGAATATTCCAGTACTTCCTGAGAATTCTAGAATGCCTAGACCTTCCTCTCAGGCTCTCTGCTCCAGGACACTCAGGCTACAAAACCTCCCTCCTCAAAGTTCTTCCCATCTATACTGGACTGGAGTTCACAGGCAGGATATGTTTTGGGTCTGCAACTGTCACTGCTCAAATTCTCTTGCTACTTAGAATGTTGTTTGCTGTACTTCCTTCTCAAATTTTCCCATCATGACTCACAGTGGATGTGAGATGTGGGGGAGTGTCACCTGGGCTCTTCCTATAAGCGATTGGGAGCAATTTGAAGACTTCCCTAGCCACCTGAGGCAGTTATATGCTCTTCCTCTGGACGTACTCAGGCTTCAATATAAAAGTTCAACAAAACTTTTATCAATTATATTGCAACTGTTCAAATGCCTGCCACTAGAAAATAACTGTTGATTGAGCACTTCTTATGTGAAAGTGCTTAACATCATTCTTTCCAATCCCATGAGATAGTTATTCCTTTTTCCCTATAACAGATAAGGAAATTAAGGCTCCAAAGATAGAAGTTAACATCTCACAGCCAAGTGTCAAAATCAAGTCCAGGTTGGGCAGGACTGGGTCCATAGCCAGCCTCTGGCCTGTAGTCTCTCACGTCTGCCTGTAGATCTTTCCTGTTTGTCCTGGGTTGGGTGGGTTTCCTAGGATGGGGTGCTTCCAGTGCTAAAAAGGAACAGTGAGTCAACCCTCCAGGGAGCAAGGGTAGGTGGATGTTAAGGTGGGCCTCAGCCCAGAGGGGATGCAAGCTTTGATGAAGAGGGAAGAAATGTCCCTTACACACAGGACAAGTCACAGCACCAACCCCTGCTCCAGGGAAGAACAGCATAGGGGTCAAAAGGGAATTTCCTCTGTTATAACATGAAGATAAATGTGAAGTTTTCCAGCTTCCCAGAGCGCCCCAGCTTTAGTCTTTAGGCCAGGACACAATCTGGATGATTTGGATGATGTAGGCAAAACTGGTTGGTGAGCAGGATTTCTCAAGCATTAGAGAAACATCCCTGAGTTTTTCTTCCTTTTTTTTTTTTTTTTTAATCCAAGAAATCTAAAACTAGTTAAATGTTAAACGGACTCATGTTTCTTGTATACTCCTCTGAGAATGCTTCAGAGCCCACATTTCTCCAGGATATAACCCAAGGTCCTTTGGGCGATCCTCCAACTCTCCAAGCACCCTGCACACGGGGGAGTCTAGGCGGTGGACGAGATCTCCCCCGCCCACTGCTGAGTCTCACTATTCTCAGCCTAGCGAGGATGTGCTCCAGCAGCGCATTTCCTGGCGGCTGGTCGCTTTGGAACTTGAATGCATTTCTCCACGGAAGCAGCGCAACCCAGCCCCCACTCGTGCCCCCAGGCGCTCTGCAGGGTGGGCTGCAGGGAGGTGCTGGCACCTGGGCAGTTCCCATGGCAGCGTCTGACATGGCTCTGGCAGCTGGGAGTAGGGGCGGAGTTTGGGGACCCAAAGAAGGGCGCTTTGTGAGTGGCTGGTTCCCTTGGCAACCGCGGGGCACCTCCGCGGCAGCCAGAACTCAGTAGCCTAGGCTAGAACTGACTATGCCTGTAACCAGGAGCAGAGTACCTTTAGAGAAGCAGCATTTCCACCACCAGCATGCCTAAATATTTCCTGGAAGCAAACATTTTTTCAGCATCTGCATGCCAAATATTGTGGTAGATATTGGGCCCTCTCCTGGCAGGGCTCCCAATCCCAGAGGGTGAGCTAAACACGTATCTGTGACACAGAGACCATGCCATCTCTGCTAGCAGGAAAGAGGAGGGCAGGATGCAGGTTGACAAGGTTTCAAGATTTTCCCAACTGGTTTTGAAAGGCAACCTGTGGAGTATTTCACAAATGAGAAAACAGAGGTTCCAAAAGTTACTGGAATCCATGTTCTTACCTTCTTCCTGGGTATGTATAGCCTGGTCTTCCTTGCAACTAGGGAGTAAGTAGCCTGTGATTAGCCACTGGAGTAATATATTTTGTCCAGTAGATATGAAGAGGAAGCAGTGTGGGCCACTTCAAAGGCCTGGTCTCGTCCTGTCTGCCTGGCTGGGATTGCAGTGTTCCCTGAGCAGTCTTGGAAGTGACTTAATGAGTTGGCAAAGGCTCTGTCAGTCCGAGTCCCTAGATGACCATCCTAGGGAGGACTGCTCCACCTACCTCTTGCCCAGCCCAGAACTATGAACTGAACAGGAAATAAACTCCCAATGTGATTATATTTTTTAAAATTTTATTTTATTGGTACATTTTATGTATACAATATAATGACATTCATCACTGGAAATCTGCACCTTTACAAAATATATTCTTAAGAGCTCAGATTGGGAAAGGATTTTTTTTTTTTGGTACCAGGGATCGGACTCAGAACCTGGTGTGATTATATATATTATTAAAGTCTGTTTGTTCCCACAATTAACCTTCCCTAACTGGTACATGAGGACAGGCCCATCTAGCTTTGAGCTTCCCTGTACCACATTTCAGATATTTACATTGGTACCAGGGCAACTAGCGGCATACAAGGTGTGTAGGCTAGAGTTGGACAGACCCAGAGATACTGGGATCAGAGCTAGTCTGTTCGTCATGACAACAGCTTCCTATGGTCTGAAGACACTCCCAATAAGTTGGTATCAAAATAGAACATGAATCATTCACATGACATAATCTCAGGGAGATTATAGATTTGTTTTGTGGTGTGTGTAACCTAAAAGGTGGTCCATAAGTACTTGTGGATGGATGGATGGATGAATGGATGGGTAATGGCTTCTACTATAGGGCAAAGAAAAGAAAGAATATCCTAAATAGAGCCATGAGATCTAATTGAGACACCAATGAAGTATATAAGGAAAGGGGGCTGCTCTACTGACAATACCCTTTGTTAAATGTTGGCAAGTCTAGCTGTGTAGAAAGGAATAGATCAAAAATGGGAAGTCCTAGGAGATACTGTGCCCTAAGTGGCCCTTGCTGCTGGGAGTACTTCCCAGCCATCCAAGCAAGGGTTGCCATTTTAGCAGATGAAAATACAAGATACCCAGATAAATTTGAATTTCAGATATGCAATAAGAATTTCTCTGTGCAATATTTGGAACATTCTTATACCAAATATTATTTTGTATCTCAAGTCAAATTAACTGAGCATATCATTTTTACCCAACGACCCTAAGCCAGGATCCTAAGCAGGTGACTTTGTATAGATAAATGGCAGAGAGGGTGGCACTAGCTGGTCAAAAGCCATTGTTTCAGAGGCTTGCTTCCTATTGTCAAGAGTGGGTTCCCTCCTCTGAATGACCAGAAGGAAGGAGACCTGTAGAAACTTCACTTGGTCTCTTCCCTGCATTTTGAAAAGTATTCAAAGTAAAGTATATATCAGGTCTATAACTGGTGGTATAAATTAGAGCACCAAAAACACACACAAAGAAATGTCTTTGGCTTCCAGTCATTGGATCCAAAGAGGAAATTCATCCAACCCAGTGACGGATTATTCAATGTGAAACGTAAGTTTTCATTCACAGTAGTACGTACTAAATGGGAGCACAGGGGGTCTTTCTACTTTTAACCTTTAGAAAAGGTCCCTATGTGTTTTTTTATCCAAGATTCCTAAAACAAATTGGTTCACCTGTAGTTACTGTTGCAATAGAGAAACCAATAGAAATATGGTCCATTCTCAGCACAAGAGTATTGGTTGGCCTTTGGACAGACACCATGTTTCTTTCTCTTTAGATTCAACATGATTTTAGCTTATTTTCTAGATATCTCCAGGAGCTGTAGGAGAACATCCTGGAAGTTTAGGGAATTTTGCCTCAGCCTTTCCTCCTACACTAATCACTTTACAAGTTTACATTAAAACCTTCATAAAGTGAAAAAAGACAAGAGTCCTAGAGGGATAAACCAACACCTTCCTGGGGTGGGCAAAGAACTGGGCATTAACCAGCACCATCCTGGCTGACATCTGATTCCCTATGTCCATACTAGGACCATATTCAAACATCACATCATGAAATACACTTGGCCATCATCACCCTCACTTCTCACATGTACGGCTTGTCATCATTCCCTGCTGATGTTCTGATTTCTATGCTTTCCTCTGTAATCCATGCTCCACCAACAACCTGAAAGGACTTTATTAAATGCCACTCACCTACTCCGTAAAATGACAGTCACCTTCCAGGGATACTGCAGAAACTTAAGCAAAGCCCAAACCCTTTTCCTCAGCCTACAAAGCAGGTGATCCACCCCACTGACCACATTTTCTTTCATTCTTCCCATAACATCCATTCTACTATACACACTGACTTATTTCTGCTTCTCAAAAACACCACTTCCATTCCTCCTCAGAGGCCTGCATTAGTTGATTCCTGGGCCTGGACAATTCATATTCAATGTGTTTGCCTTGCTGCTGCCTTTTGTCATTCAGGTAACAGTCTCAAAGTTTCCTTTCAGAAAAACTTTCCTGATCATGAAACCTAAAGGAAACTCCCTCTCCCTTACTTTCCCCATCTTATCACCATTTTATTTTTATCAAAGTACTTAGCACTACCTGATCATTTTTTCTTTATTTGTTTACTATCTCCAGAATAGAATGTAAACTCTTGTTCATCCTATTGACCAATAGCCTCAGTCTCTAGAACCAACATGTAGTACATAGTAGGCTGTCAAGGGACAAACAAACCTGATGAAGAAATCTTCAAGTTCATTATATCAGCTGGCACCCAATGCTAATGAAGACAGTATAGACACAGCTGTCAATAATAATAGTAAACATATAGCCAGGGCTTGCTACATGCCTAAGCACTGAACATATATCATTCACATGCAATTAGCCCCGTAAATTCTATAATATACACTTGATCTTAGCCAAAAGGCCGAGAAGCAATAGTAAATTCTATAATATAAAATCTAATTTCACAAATAAAAACATTCATAAAGAAGGATAAACAAGACATTTCTAGGTAAATGGATGCACTTTGAGACCATACTCAAGTGAATAAACAAGACACACATGTTTAAATATCACATTGTTTCTCTGGTGTGAGAAACCAAAAGTGGAAATAAGGAGCAAATGTATAATAGATACCGGGAAACAGGAAGAAAATGTTCCAATAGGAAGGGGAACAAGGAAGAGAGGAGGGGGTAGCAAGGAACGGAAAAGCAAAAAAGTATAAAAGGGAAAAATGGAAACAAAACTTTTGTACATAAAGAGGGGGAGAGGAGTTGAAGGGAGTGGGGATGGGGAAAAAAGAAGAATCAAGATACATTACGTACGGGTACAAATTCCCTAATTCCCTAGGATGAATGTGCTCATTAGGTTTGGATAAAATGGACCAATAAAATTAACTTTAAAAAAAAAATAAAGGAATTAAGCACAGATGGGAAAAACAAGTTGTCCTCAATCACATGGAGTGTGCAATGCAGTGAAGGTTTGCATAGAGGCAATCCAACTCTAAACTGACCAGTAAACTTCTTATGGCTTAGACAAAACATGTCCCACAGAAGGCCATATGTTCAGAAGTGAGGCTTTTGGAAGACGATTAGCTCATGGAGCACTAATCTCATCAATAGATGAATGCACTGATGAGTTCATAACTGCTGGGAGAGGGGCCTGGTTGGAGGAAGTAGCTCACTGAGGTCATGCTTTTGAAGGGTACAGCTTTCCTCTGGCTCTTTCCCTGATCTCTGCTTCTATGCCTGCCACGGCTCCTGAGAAGTTTTCCCCTGCCATGCCCTTCGGCCATGACATTTCTACCTTGGAGCCAGCCAACCGTGGCCTGAAACTTCTGAAACCACAAGCCAAAATAAACCTTGTTTCCTTTAAATTGTGTGTGTCAGATATTCTGTCCCAGCAACAGAAAACCTAACTGATAAAAAAACTGCACTCCTAATTACAAAACCATACCCCAATCCTGGCATTTGACAAAGTAGCCTGGGTTCAAGCTGGTTTCTGGAGGAGATTCTCTACGAGGCTTTTTATTATTTATGTTGCTTTGTTTTATATAACATTAGTTGACGTTTGGTCACCTATTCAGTGTTTGAAAGAAATATGATGAACTATGATTTGACAATAATCACAAGAGATACCAAGACAAAAGATGTAGGAGGCAAATGAAGCCTTCAATAAACCCCTGTCTTCTATGTACACCCACCTATTTATGTGTTATTCATTTAAAAGATTCTACATGAGCACCCTGCCCTGCAAGGCAATATTCTTGGCATATCTGTCCTCCAGGAGGTGGTGAGTGCTGTGAAGGGATGGATGAAAGATGGAGGTGGATTGTGAAGATGCCACTTTATAGGATGACATGGTGAGGGATGGCTTCTCCAAGGAGTTCCATGTAAGAGCCTGGCAACAGAGTGCTCTGAGCAGAAGGAACAGGTAGTGAGGCTCAAGGCACAGGGGGCATGGGATGCTGGGGTGTCCCATGGATGAGCAAAGAATGGCCCTAAGACAATGGAGTGGGGGAGGATTAAGGCAGAAGAGTGCATATGTGTATATTTTCTTTTTTATATGACCTCTTGCTTTCTGCGCTTTTTTTTTTTGGTACCAGGAATCGAACTCAGAGCCTTGTGCTTGCCAGGCAGGCACAGCACCACTGAGCTAAATCCTTGACCCTTGCTTTCTGCTTTCTGCCATGAGTTGATGTAGCATGAAGCCTTCACTAGGTGCAGTTACCCGGTCTGGACATGCTTGGCAATGTAATATACATACAATATCCAGATTTAATATAATATAAAATACATAAAGGATTTACTAAGTAGAATTACAATGGCTAACTGCAGAATCAAGTATAGAAGAATGAAAAATGGCCATCTGGCCACTGAAGGTTTGGAGGATCCAGCCAAAAGTCAAAGGCCAGAAGCTCACTGCAGAGTCTGATGCAAGTCTTTGTTGGAAAGCCAAAGGGTCTATGTTGAAGATTGAAGAGTTTGTGCTGGAAGCCTTAAGGAACTAGAGACAAATGTCAAAAGGCAATGGCAAAGACTGGAGCTCCTCCAAAGAAGGAAAAGGAAAAACTTCCCCCTTTCTCTTTTTATTCCATCCAGCCAGGCTACAAGCCTATTAGTTGGTGCCATCCACAACTGGGGTGACTCTTCCCTCCTCAGTTTGTGGCCTGTCAGTTACTCACAGACACATCCAGAACTGTGCTCCACTAATCTGCAAGGCATTTTTTAATCTGTTTAAACTGATATCACAATTAACTATCACACCATTCTCTCCCCATTT